GGATGCTCAGCCCTTGGACCACCGCAGGGATGCTCGGCCCTTGGACTACCACAGGGATGCTCAGCCCTTGGACCACTGCAAGGATGCTCAGCCCTTGGACCACCACAGGGATGCTTGGCCCTTGGACCACCACAGGGATGCTCGGCCCTTGGACTACCACAGGGATGCTCAGCCCTTGGACCACTGCAAGGATGCTCAGCCATTGGACCACCACAGGGATGCTCAGCCCTTGGACCACCGCAGGGATGCTCGGCCACCCGAACCACCGCAGGGATGCTTGCTCCCGGGACCACTGTAGGGATGCTCAGCTCTGAGGCCACCACAGGGATGCTTGCCCCCGGGACCACCGCAGGGATGCTCGGCCACCCGGACCACCGCAAGCAGGACCCTTCCCAGGGTGCCCACCCATGTAGTGGCATCACATAGAATAGAATCATGGAATCGTTGAGGTTGGCAAAGACCTTTAAGATCACCCAGTCCAACCATTGACCTGACACTGCCAAGCCCACCACCAAACCAATTAAGGGCAGAGTCATAATTAATTTCATGATCTTGGCTTGGTGGCTGCATTATTTTTTCATGAAAGTCAAAACCAGGAATCATGGAATCGTTGAGGTTGGCAGAGACCTTTAAGATCATCGAGTCCAACCATTAACCTGACACTACCAAGTCCACCACTAAACCAATTAAGGGCAGAGTAATCATTAATTTCATGTTTCCTGGCTTGGTGGCTGGATTATTTTTAATGAAAGTCAAACCAGGAATCATGAAGGTTGGACAGGACCTCTAAGACCACCAGTCCAACCATCAACCCAACACCCCCATGGCCATGAAACCACGGTCCGTGCTTGGGGAGAGCTGCCAAACCCAGCAGCTGGCCCCACGGGGCAGGAGAGTCGTCGAGGGGCATGGGCTCACCTGGAAGCTCTTGGCATTGAGGCTCTTCTGGCTCTCAGCAGCCACTTTGAGCCTGGAGTCCAAGCCCTTCATCAGGGACTCGGTGTTGCGCACGTACTGGAGGTCCCGGTAGGTCCGGAGATCCAGCACCTCCATCGACTGGGAGATGTTCTGCACCTGCGTGGTGGAACGGTGTGGGGAGGGGGCTGATAAAGCCCTCAGTCTAATTAACACAGCCCCCTGCCC